AGGAGATCGTAGATTCCTTCCCAGTGGTCGTACTTATCTTCATAATCTTGGTCGTTCCCTTGCAGGAGATAACTTATTTCCCAGTGGATTTTATCTATCGCTTCCCACTTCGACTGGAGTATGTTAAGATGATCTTGTAGTTGCCACTTCTCTTTTAAGTTATCCAAGTTGGTTTTGGAAACCGCTCGCTCTAAAGCATTGAAGTTACACATTTGGTTACGTAACAGTGTTGTTAGATGCTTGTCAGGCACATCGTTTTTAATATGTTCGTGTAATCCAGAAGTGTCAAAATGTGTTGTCACTTCTATTTCTGGAGTTTTCGGGTTTGACGTACTCGAAAATTCTGGTTCGGTGTTCAATGTTTTTCGCAGCTGATTCATAGATTGTATGGTTTCGTTGAACATGCTTTTCGTTATTCCAAAGATGTTTTGTTTGAAGTAATCATGGTCTCTGTTGATGGACTCGTACTTCTTTAGTATTTCGTGGTTGGAACGAAACTCGTCCCAAAGGGCTTGCAGAGCTTCTATTCGCTTGTTGAGGTAATCTATGGACTTTCTACTCACAGAATCCTTTTTATAGTTAGTTTGCAGAGTTTTGATTTTTTCGTAGCTTGTTTGCTGCCTGGATATGAGGGCAACAAACTCTTGGTAGTCTTCTTTCGACATTGTTAGAGGTGCTTATTATACTTATTATAAGCATGCACTTCTTAGTTGTTTCAATGATTTGGATGGCGTAGCAGTACACGTTATGTCCGCTAGTGTTGTTGTAATTTCCGCAGACGTTATTCTGCGGATTACTTCTTGTTCACTGATTTTCTGTAGCAGTGGACGTTATCCCTGCTGGTACGTTTCAGGCTGGTACTCAGTATAACTCTCCCTCCTTTACGTAATGTGCAACGTCTCAATGCTTCTGGTGAGACCCGCTGGTGGGAGGCCAGAAGCACCGATTTGCTTACGTAACTGGGATAAGCTAAGCTAAGCACCAAACTTGAGGAGACACGACGATTTCTATTGATGATGTCGTTGATCTCGACGGCTCGAAGGACCAAAAAGATGTTGGGGTTTTCTCGTCGTTGACGACAACTCCGATTGTAGTTGTAGGATGTAGGCAATAATTCAGACTCCGAAGTTCCTTTAGGTTTACTTGTTTATTTTCTGACTACCAATTAAAGGCTACGTTTAGTTATCTGAATCGCACTTTACGTATTATTACGTATTCTATGTTAGTCCCGATTGCTACACATTAGCACGTGATAGCGACCTTGTTACGACTTGTGTACGATTAATTAAAGTTATTAGTTCGATGCATTATATACGTTTGCATTCAATATAAAATCGCTGTATGAGCATTATGGCTCGTACACACACACTTTCAGTAATTACATATCACACATACACACTAAACCTACGATTTGCACCCAAAACACATCCCAAATACAATTATACTTAAAAATACACCCTAATATACGCAGAGTTCGAAACGCTCAAATGATACAAATACTTTATAAACAAATTATATCACTAAAATACAAATTAGCAAGCAGATTCAATATAATAACAAAACTAGCTTATTTTCCTCTAACATACATCTTGATAGGCCCTATTAGATATACCTACGAATATTTTATAGTGACGTTGATTCCATTTAAAAACAATCAATATGAGTGACACCTTACATGCAGTAAATGAGATAGACAACATTAAAATTGCTAACTCAATTGAATGCAACAGCACAGATCTCTCAAAACATATTTATGTTAAAAGAAATGATTTAACCATTATTGCACAAAATATAAGGAGCATATACTGCAATTTCGATGATTTTGTCGTTGTGCTATCTACCTTTGATTTTGAAACCGATGTGATAGTATTAACGGAATGTAGACTTAATGCAAATAAACCTATACCGCAACTTCCTAACTATCAGTCTTATATGACAACACGTCAGTTAAATCAAAACGATGGGTTGCTATATACGAAAAAACTCGCTAAAGCCGGTAATTCGAGAAGTGCAGCTATCTCAGGCGACATGTCTTCAACTGGAGACAATAAATAACATTATTTTATGTATTTATCGATCTCCATCAAATACAAACCTTGATGGCTTTATAGACTCTCTTAGCGCACACTTAGACTCATTACCGACACAGAAAAATATCATAATAGCAGGAGATATAAATATTAACATAAGGCCCAAAGACCCTGAAGTATATCTTGAACGGAAAAACCGTAATTGTTACCTTAATATGTTGTCAGCCTATGGTATACTACCTGGTCACACACTACCGACAAGAGAACAAAACTGCCTGGACCACTTTATGCTCAGAATTAATAAAAAGAAGACATCTGCATCAATTGCTATTTTGCAAACAACAATTACTGATCATTACACTACATTTTTATCACTTTCTAAAATAAAAAATAAAGAATTTGCAAATAAATTATGAAGTTGCGTTAAATTACCTACAGGAAATCAATCTTTCGGAATTATTGTTTTGCAATGACCTTAATTTGTTAACTGACCAACTCATACAAAAACTGACTGCCACTATTAACTACAGCACTAATATAACAAGTATCCCAAATAATAAACGTATCATCAAACCATGGATCACCCCGGGATTACTGCGCTGCATTAACAATCGCAATAAACTACAACGAAACTCTCGACTTGAACCACATAATGAAATATTAAAAATTACATACCGTCGTTATAGAAATTACTGTAATAACTTGATTAAAAAATTAAAAAGAAAGTATGAAAGAGATCTACTTGCCAAATCAGCCACCAACTCAAAGTTACTTTGGAAAAACATTAAAACAATCACCTACTCAAACAAAACTAAAAATCAAAGCACATTATTAAATATCTTGCCGTCCCCACTAGCATCTGTAAATTTTGTAAATGATTATTTTGCGAATATTGGAAAGCAATTAGCCCAACAAATTCAGCTTACAAGAAATCAAAACAATGATTATCGATGTAATAACCGACATACGCAAAATAATTCTTTTGTACTCTTGGACACAGACCCTAGGGAAGTTGAAAGCATATTGATGAGTTTAAAGTCGGACAGTGCTCCAGGCTGGGACAACATCTCGACTAGATTTCTTAAGTATGTTAGCAGGGAAGTCGTACCGATCATCGCCCATCTGGCTAACCTTTGTTTTAGAAATGGTATTTTTCCGACCTTACTAAAACAATCAATTATTACTCCGGTACACAAGGGTGGAAACAGTGACGATGTAAACAATTACAGACCTATCTCTGTGTTACCGGCTTTATCTAAGGTTTTGGAAAGGTTAATAAACGTGAGACTTGTTAACTATTTTAATAAATTCAGAATATTGTCGCCCACTCAATTTGGTTTCAGACAGGGAGTAGCCACTGAAGACGCAGTTTCTGCCCTCAGCTCAGTGATTGCTGAGCATCTAGATGTAGGAAAAAAATGCCTCTCGGTATTCCTAGATTTAAAAAAAGCTTTCGACACCGTCTCTGTTCCAACCCTTGTGTCCAAACTAGAAAGAGTCGGAATAAGAGGAGTACCACTCAATCTCCTTAAAGATTACCTATCAGAGAGACGGCAGAGAGTTAAGATAGGTACATATCTCAGTGATAATGCAGACGTCTCATTTGGCGTGCCTCAGGGTAGCGTTTTGGGCCCTACACTCTTTTTAATGTATATTAACGACCTCTGTACCTTAAAAGTCGATAACGCTAGCATTTTTTCGTACGCTGATGATACCGCTGTTGTATTTTCTGGAGATAACTGGCCTGAAGTTCAGCTTAAAGCTGAGAAGGGTATGACTAAGATCGCTAACTGGCTAAATAATAATTTATTAACTTTGAACGCAACTAAAACTAACTATATCTGTTTCTCTGCTTCAAAGCGTTCACAACCAAATGAAGACTTCAGTATTAAAGTGCATTCATGTAAGCAGAAAACCGCTAATAATGATTGTACATGTCCTCTAATTGGTAAAGTATCTCAGACAAAATATTTAGGTGTCATAATTGATCAACAGTTGTCTTGGTATTTCCATATCGAACACGTAACTCATAGAATAAGGAAATTATGTTGGATATTCAAAACATTGAGACACGTCGTTCCAACCATTACAAATAAAAAAACCGGCCAATACAGAAATCTCTTAAACGAAATTTACATCGCCCTTGCACAATCCATCATAACATACTGTATACCGATATGGGGCGGTGCAGCAAAAACCAAATTTATAGAGGTGGAACGAGGACAACGAGCACTCATTAAAATTATGTATTTTAAAAGTAGGAGGCACCCTACTGAAAGTATTTATCAGATAAGTGGTTTACTCTCTGTTAGGAAATTGTACATCACACAACTGATTTTAAAAAAACACAAAACTGTTTTTTATGACAGTAAAATATTATCAAAGAGACGTAAAGATATGATTGCACAAGTTCCACAAACTAAAACTAAACTTGCTGCTATACAATACAATAAACGCTCTGCACAAATATATAATAAGGTAAACAAAGAAATATACATATACACTAAACAACTACACGAATGTAAGAAATTGCTAATCGAATGGATAAAAAATCTAACATACGAAAGTACGGAAGCCCTGCTGCAACACGTAAAATAACCATCCCTCACACACCCTCGCAGATACACCACGACACACACGCCACACACACAGATACGCGCACCTCACACACACATACACCCCACACTCACATACACCCCTTACACATAAATCTATTTATATAAGTCAATAAACTGGTAATTGTAAAAACCAAAATCTTTTGAAATATTGTTATGTTATGGAAGAGCGGAGTCTCCTAATACAGGCATTATTTACCTAAAAGGAGGCTCCAATCACAATCTATTGTTAAAAAATATTTGGTTCAGAAATAAAAAATTTTTGTATTTTTTTTTTTTTTGAGTAATGCGTCTATTATGTTTTTAAATTAAGATTTTTATTATACTATGTAGTGATTTGAATCTTAAATTTCAGGTTATAAGCAAGATTCTGGAACGCAAGGACAGGCAGCCGGTGAAAATCGACTTTAAGATCTTCCTTACTGAGAACACGGTGACTCGCTGGGAAGCTGTAAGTTGCATTTGCTTATATTTAACTTCGGATCCTATTTTTTATGGCATAAGCCGATAAACGAGCAGACGTATCACCTGATGGTAAGCAATCGGCGTCGCCCATGGACACCTGGAACATCAGAGGCGTTACAAGTGGTGGGTGCGTTACCGACCTTTTGGAGTTTAGTATTTTGAGAATCTTTGAGGATTCAGGGATTGGGGAGGGGGAGGGGGTAATTGGGCCTCCGGTTACCTCGTTCACACGACGAAACACAACGCAAACATTGTTTCACGTCGGTTTTCTGCTCAGCCGTGGTATCACTCCGGTCGAGTCGGCCCATTCGTGCCGAAGCATGGCTCTCCAACACTTTCCCGATGCTAATTTTTACGTGATAAGACAAGCGAGCAGACTTGCCTAGAGGCCTCAGTACCAGTTATTATTACGTTTAAAGTAATCGTGTTGGCGTTCAGCACTCAGAGTGTCAACCACGAATAACTACCGCATTCGTAACATAATACCAGCGCCAATCATCATTATCAGCCCGTATTCGTCCACTGCTGGACATAGGCCTCACCAATGACACGCCACTGAGAACCTAACGGGTTACCGGGGCTCCGGCTAGCAGTGCAGGAGTAGGAACGGGGTGGTTTTTAGTCAGTAAGAGACACCCCCTCCCGCCTCACCCAGGCGGGAGCAGTCATTCGACGATTTTCCCCCGTTAAAAAAAAATACACCTAGCTGGACGGCGCCCTACACTACGTTTGCCTCGTTACTATTACGTTACGAATGCGATAGTTATTTGAGCTTGGCACTCTGATTGGCCGGCTCCAATGCACCTACCAATCAGCGACGACGCGCTCGTTACTATTACGTTACGAATGCGATAGTTATTCGTACTATAACATAACATAACATCACGCCTTTTTATCCCCGAAGGGGTAGGCAGAGGTGCACATTTCGGCACTTAATGCCACTGTACAAAGTAACACCCACTTTTCACTATTTATGTTATGAGTCCCATGTAATACGGGGTGAGCCTATTGCCATATACCGGGCACATTTTTCCAGACTCCGTGCTACTACTGAGATTTTTAAAAACCCAGTAATACTTTGCCCGACCCGGGAATCGAACCCGAGACCCCTTGCCCGGCAGTCGCACTTGCGACCACTCGGCCAATGAGGCAGTCTTCGTACTATCTATCTTTGTATATATAATTCTCCTGTGAGTGTGTATGTCATGTATTTGTTTATACATTCAAGTGGATATGCAGGACAACGTCTGTTGGGTCCGCTAGTTATAATATATAATTTATATTGCAGGTGGTCCAAGGTGGCACTATCTACCTGCGTATGCCGGGAGTCCTTCAGTCCGGCAGTAAGGAGAGCTTCATGCTACTTCTGGACTTCGCCGAGGAAAGGCTAGGGTGTAACAAGTATGTATAACTCAATTCTTGTATATTCTCTTATGCAGATGGTATCACCTGATGGTAAGCAATCGATGGGCACAAGATGATTGTCGTTCTAAAATATCGCTTTTTATCGACTGAGGTGCACGTTATGGCAAATAAGGTCATCATCATCATTATCAACAGCCTATAAATGCCCACTGCTGAGCAAAGCCTCTTCTCACACGGAGAAGGTTAGAGCATTAATCACCACGCTTGCTCAATGCGGGTTGGCGATTTCAAACTTATAATTAGAAATTATAAGTCCAGGTTTCCTCACGATGTTTTTCCTTCACCGTTTGTCAGTGGTGTCTAAATAATCTTAGAAAGTACATATAACTCGGAAAAAGTCACATTGGTACTTGCCGTTGGTAGGTTTTGAACCCGCACCCTCATGCATGAGAAGTGGGCGTCTTAAACCTCCGGGCCACCACGACTACGACCACGATACACGCAAATAAGGTGCCGTCTATAAATTACGTCACACGTTAAAGGGTAGGGAGGGGGTCGACGAAGTGTGACGTAGTGTGACAAGGGGGAGGGAGGGAGGGATCCTAAACTTTATGATGTCACATTCCAAAAACTATTATAAAACACGAAATATAATTGTATTAATGTTTTTTATTTTGTTTGATATTTTTTTAAAGTAATTTAAATAGAAATTAAACTGATTTCGGTACATGTTCATTCAATATTTTTTATACATACGTAAATTTTGCAAAATGTGGAGTCACACTGGAGGTCTCACAATAGCTGTGACAAGGACGGGGGGAGGGGCAAAAAACCATGACATTCGCGTGACGTAATTTATAGATGACCTGACCCCTAATGCCGCTGTACAATGTAACACACACTTCACTATTTAATGAGTCCCATGTAATGGACTACCTCGTTGGCCGAGCGGTCGCAAGGGCGATTACTAGGCAAGTATTTTTTTAAAATTCTCAGTAGTAGCCAGGAGTCTGAAATTGTGCCCGGTATATGGCAATAGACTCACCCCCTATTACATGGGACTCATAACATAAATAGTGAAAAGTGGGTGTTACATTGTACAGTGGCATTAATTGCCGTAATGTGCACCATCTTAATGATAACCATATGTTATGATAATTTTTTTTGCTACACGTCCACGTAGTTTTAATTAGAATTTTGGTGCCACGCTCATATCTAAAATACGCCCCAAATTTGTACCAAAAGTGAGTCACCTGTCACTCATGACCTTATTCCAAACGTTCATTGTCAGTCGTTTGTGACTCCTTCGGAATCAAGTTACAAACCGCAGTCCCCATATATACATAACATCACGGCTGTCTCCCACAGTAGGCAGACTCTATGGATCCACTTTTAGGAAATGAAACTGTCACCAATAGGAAAAGTAAAATATAGAATTGGTTAGCGTGTCATTATACAGATAAGCCCCACTAAAATTTCACTTGCGACCCATAGTTTGGAAGACCCTGCCTTGGACAGTTAAGTTGTGGTTCAGTATAAAGCAAAACACTTCAGTATTCCGATATTAATATATCACATTTACTGTTCCAGCTGCATCATCTGCGTCCTGAAGAGCCGACCGGACCGCGCCACCATTCTCCGCACTTTCATGTTCATGGGATTCCAGTTACTCCCACCAAACTCCCCTCTTATGCCGCAAGAAATCACCAACCCGGAGTACATATTCCTGCACTACAATATGCAGTAATACTCAAAATTTCCGAGTCGCAAAAAGTCGGAAAAACTCACTCTTTTTAGACGAACTCGAAATTTCCGAGTTTAAACTCGGATATTTCAGTTTTAAGTTCTAATTTATTTCATCCAGATGTCTCCTAGCCGGCGTCTCTTTCCGCCTTTTGTGGACTCGAAATTTTCGAGTTTTAGTGTACCTACGTAGCTTCGTTATCTAGAAACAGTATTTTCAAAGTCGCACGTTTTCTATCATGTTTATGAATAATCACCTGGGCTTGCTTATATTATGGCAACAACAAGTCTGTAGTATTAGATACTTAGGGTATTGTTATATGACGAGTTAATACGAATTTCTTTTCTTTTCATACATTTTAATACTCGGAAACTCCGAGTTGCAACTCATTTGAGTGTAATTGAGTAGTTTTCTCTAAACTAGGATTCCATTCTGCCTTTCTATTTTGCTGAACTAAAATCTAGCTTTGATAAAAAATCTAATAAATAAAAGGAATTCGAATTAATAAGATTTCTATGATTTCAGCTTATCAAATTTACGCTAACTTTGTTTATTTTCCATAAAAACTGACTATTGTAGAAGTTTCCTTATTATTATTGTAACTATTAAGTCGTTTCTTTAACAATTATTATTATTATACCTATATATTATTAATATGATTACTCTAAAACTTAATATTATGTATTGTCGTCGTGTATTGTCACCCGCTCCGGGGTAGAGCAAAAAAAATTAACAAAAAAATACAAAAAAAAACTAAAAAAAAAAATACAATTTAATTAATTAAATGAAGGATTTTTTAAAAATATTTCGGATTTATTACAACTTTATGTTCGCAAGTCTACATTTTAACTGATAACATCTTTGTTTTGACGACTTGGCGTTGGAATTTTTTTCGAAATATTTTTTTTATTTCTTAGTTTTTTGGAGCGTTCACAGTTCGGTATTCTGAAGGCGACCTGGCGACTGTGAACTCCTTAGTAAGTTAGAATAAGCCTAGAAGTAGAAATAAGTGGTTTTACGTTAAAATTTTAGTGAGTATTAATAATAAAAAAATAATTGACGTATCTTTGAAAAATAAAAACTTATAATTGAATTTATTCTCGTCAAAATTGAGGATATTAGTCGAACATCAGACATGGAATGGAACCATTTATAAATGTGTCTATTGTACTTTGAATTACATTTTGAAGGGAATATTTTCTTTGTAATCTTGTCACCCTAGCCTTTTTGCTACAACGATAAGTCCCATTTTTTCAGTATTTTTTTTCATATGGTCACTCTTTCACCACTTTCGTTAAGGGACGCGTTGTGTAGAGTTATTTGTAAGTCTTATATATTAATTGATAAAGAATAAAGTAAATAATAATCAAAAATATGGAGTTTTATTTATATTATAAACTACTCTTAAAAAAAGTCTGCCTCATTGGCCGAGTGGTCGCAAGTGCGACTGCCGGGTTAGGGGTCTCGGGTTCGATTCCTGGGTCCGGCAAAGTAACACTGGGTTTTTAAAAAATCTCAGTAGTAGCACGGAGTCTGGAAAAATGTGCCCGGTATGGCAATAGGCTCATCCCCTATTACATGGGACTCATAACATAAATAGTGAAAAGTGGGTGTTACATTGTACAGTGCCATTAAGTGCCGAAATGTGCACCTCTGCCTACCCCTTCGGTGATAAAAAGGCGTGATGTTATGTTGTTGTCTTAAAAAAACCAACGTCAACCCCCTCTTTTTTAATTCGGTTAATCTACTATATAAAAATAAGTCGGGTTTTCCTTCCTGACGCTATAACTCCAGAACGCACGAACAGATTTCCACGATTTTGCATTCGTTGGAAAGGTCTCGGCTCCGTGAGGTTTATAGCAAAGAAAAACGTAATCTATATATATAAAAGAAAGTCGTGTTAGTTATACCACTTATAACTCAAGAACGGCAGTATAGATTTGGCTGAAAATTGGTAGGGAGGTAGCTTAGAGCCAGGAGACCGACATAGGATACTTTTTAACCAATTTTTTTTTACTTTTTACCGAAAATCACGAACGGGGACGGGAAAAAATGGGATTACGCGTACGAAGTCGCGGGCAGAAGCTAGTGTTACATAAAACGAAGCCAACTAGTAGCGACACGACGTTCGCCGGGTTAGTTAGTTTATTATAAATAAATATACTCGCTGACTGCTTCGTTGGCCGAGTAATCGAAAGTGCGACTGCCGGACAAGGGGTCTCGGGTTCGATTCCCGGGTCGGGCAAAGTATTACTGGGTTTGTAAAAACCTCAGTAGTAGCACGGAGTCCGGAACCGATGCCCGGTTATGGCAATAGGCTCACCCCCTATTACATGCGACTCATAACATAAATAGTGAAAAGTGGGTGTTACATCATTGTACAGTGGCATAATGTGCACTTCTGCCTACCCCTTTGGGGATAAAAGGCCGCACAAGTCAAGTCACATTCAGGTCAAACGCGACGTGATGCGGTCTATGATGCAGCATGTCGTCCCAAAAGCAACCTATAAACTCGGGCCTTGAAGACGCCCAGGTATACCCTTCAGGAAACAGACTGGCAAAGAATTCCACTCCTTAGCAGTACGCACAAGGAAGCTTGATGCGAAGCGCTTCGTGCGTGTGGGTGGGACATCTACCATGAATCGGTGACGCTTCGCCGATTTATACGCAAGAAACTTATACCAGTGCGAGAAAAGACTCAGCAGTGGCTCATTGGGATGATGACAGGGTATTACAGGGTTAGATTTTTATGAAAAAATCCCAGATTAAATCATTTGGAGCAAATTTAAAAATGATTTACAGCGCGACTGTGCTGAAATTTCAGTTAAACTGTCAAACACCAAGCGGTCACCGGTGACCGCGATCTATTGTTCTTTAATTGTGTCTATAAATACGGTACTCGACGAGTTAATATTATAGTTGATGCCGTAGCAGATCTTTGTAAATAATAAGTTCAAAAATGCCATAAACTTTGGCAAATATCACTGAAGAAATATTTTTATTTGTGATTTTCACTATTCCTTTGGTACTAAAACAGACATACTAAAGCACTCTCGGAATATATTACTATTACATGGGACTCATAACATAAATAGTGAAAAGTGGGTGTTACATTGTACAGTGGCATAATGTGCACCTCTGCCTACCCCTTCGCCTTCGGGGATAAAAGGCGTGGTGTTATTTTATAAATATACTTCTCCTAAGTGTAACAAACACTTTTCTGATAACCACGCAAAAGTCAAGTCACATTCAGGTCAAACGCGACGTGATGCGGTCTATGATGCAGCACATCGTCCCATAAGCAACCTATTCACTCGGGCCTTGAGACACCCAGGTATACCCTTCAGGAAATAGACTGGTAAAGAATTCCACTCCTTAGCAGGAAGCACAAGGAAGCTTGATGCGAAGCGCTTCGTGCGTGTGGGTGGGACATCTACCATGAATCGGTGACGCTTCGCCGATTTATACTCAAGAAACTTATACTAGTGCGAGAAAAGACTCAGCAGTGGTCCATTGGGATGATGCCAGGGTATTACAGGGTTAGATTTTTATGAAAAAATCCCAGATTAAATCATTTGGAGCAAATATAAAAATGATTTACAGCGCGACTGTGCTAAAATTTCAGTTATTATCATAGTTGATGCCGTAGGAGATCTTTGTAAATAATAAGTTCAAAAATGCCATAAACTTTGGCAAATATCACTGAAGAAATATTTTTATTTGTGATTTTCACTATTACTTCACACAAAATGTTGTTTAGTGAAAAAAAATACTACGCCAGATGTAAAAGTTATTAGAAAAATATCCTTGTCTTATCAGCTATCCAAAAAGGTATAAATGTTACAATGTTAATACAAAGTTAAGGCTTACTTTATGTACGTCTCGCAAAAAGGTGATTATTCGGAAAGGGTAGACGACTAATTTTTATTGTAATGTCCGTCTGGTAGATTATTTAAAAACATTAGACACGTATTTTTTATTTTCTTACGGAAACGAATAGTTTCGAAGATATATTGATTTGAAATGTCGCGTGACGTCACTTCTCAGTACATTTTATACTGAGAAATGACGTTTTAGCCCCCACTCCTAAACTTTGATTCGTTTTATCTAAGTCTTGTTTTATTATACGACAAAATAAAAAAATACGTGTCCTATATTTTTTAATTACCTAACTTACGGACTAATTTGATTTTTAATTTTCATACCCTGTCATCATCCCCATTACCATTGTAACGTTGGGCTTTATATTGCAGCCTCTACGTCAGGGCGTGAGGTGGAAATGAGGTTCGAATGCGCGAAAACTATAGTGAAAACGTTTATTAACTGAACAGGTGTCTATAAAACTACACAAACAGGGGTTAACTTAAAATTAGTTAATGTAACCGGGTGCCTCGCGGAATTGCGGCTATGCGCTCTCGCGGCTAGTTGTCCACTGTCGTTGGCGGGGTTCGCTTTCACTCCGTTAGGTAAGGGTGCGTCCGAGCAAAGACAATAAAGGACCCTTGCGCCACATCTGGGCCGCAGCTGGGCGGTGGTATGTCTCGCCGCCGTAAGGCATGCGCCCAAACCTAACTGTTAACCCTCGTGTTACACCATTATTTTTAATCAATATATCAGTTTAACATTGCCGTTTGTAGAACAGATGAGGCCAGAAGATGTTGCTCGGGTGTGCGTTACCCAGGCCAGATGTTGTCGAAAATGGCCATTTGAATCTTATAGATAATTAGTTGTCCGGCTTCTGTAATTGTTGCGCACATTTTTAAATTTGTTGCGCTTATAGTTTTTTAATTATTTCACAAAAATATTTCCTGCTGGGGTAACGTTACTCCAGTCAGACCTTTTTCTTTCTAATGGGAATATTTAAATAATTACTAGCTATAAAATTAGTTGTCTAGATGAAGTAAATGTAGCGCCTTGTTTTGTATTTGTTCTTTCATCGGTTGCGAAGTTATTCGAGATTTTGCAGGGGTAACGTTTTTGATTTTGCTAGATCTTTGAAATGGTTAAGCGGATTCTTATCATATTTGGTACATGACTTCTTATTAATAAGTTCAAATTTGTTGTGCAATAAAAAAACCAAAATATTAAATTACTTAAAAGTTATTTCATTAAATAGAAAAACACTTAAATTGGTGCCAGCACTCTCAATAGGAGCTCTAAAGACTTACTTTAAACGTCATTTAAAAGCTTGTGACTGCCTTCAAATGTATGTGAAGTTTCATTAGTATCCTGTAAGTATTAAACAAGTTATGACGATATTGGTTTTTTATTGCATTGTTCGACGTTCACTAGCCTGA